TTCCTCATAACCCTGCCAGAAAACCAAACACCATCAGGGTTATTGATTTACAATCGTCAATACCCATTACCTGTGCCGGCTGATTAACGAGCGGCTAGCGGGTAGGAATTACGGAGAAGTGGCCGGCTTGTCTCCATGACTGATTAGCCTATAAACAGGTTTAATACCTTCCTCCTTCATAAACTCCATAGTCTGCTGTGCAGGGATTCAGAAGGGGCTAACACAGTGTGTTCTGCGGAGGGGAGGAGGGGACCAGAAGGGGCTAACACAATCCACTCTGTGGAGGGGAGGAGTGGACTAGATGGGATTAACACATCTACATGTACCCTATGGAGGAGACCATATGAGACCAACATGCTTTGCTCCTCCATAGAAAGGACCAAATGGAATCAGCAGACTCTGGTCTGTGGAGGGACTCAAATGGGGCTAACACAACCTGCTGTGTGGAGTATACTAGATGGGGTTAACACAACCTGCTCCATAGAGAGGGAGACTAAATGGGGCTAACACACTCTACTCCAAAGAGTTGGCAGGTTGGAGTTAACACAGTCTGATCTAAGGATTTGGCCTAACATATTCTGCTCCATGGAGCAGACATGGCTCACATATCCAGGCTATAGAAGGACATGAACCGTCTATCAACATTATCAACAGTAAAACTGTCTCATAGTTGCAGCTCCTATCAGCTGAAAGAAATTATTTGCAGCAATGCATGACCCAAAAAGGAAGCTAACAGATTACATTAACCTTCTTACTACTTGGGTGACCTTTCAGCACCACGTGTATACTTGTTACAGGGTTAGACAGCAGGGAGAAGGTTAAACACCAACACAATGATTATAATCTAAAATCTATCAATTCCAATGATCAGACAATAAAAATAGGCACATGAAAGCAACACTTGTGATTGCCAATTGGTAGCGAGTAAGTGATATAGATGTTACAATTGCGGCTCACCCATGTTGAAACATTACCGCGAGAACAGGTAATCTCCAAGGTCGCCCATGTCAGGAAAGCAATTTTCATGGATTAAGTCTTCATTTTTCCTCCTTTCTCAAGTTTGGCAACACAACCAGTTTTCTCACAACAATCTGTCTTCAAGTGGGCTGTGTCATCTGGCTTGGGAAGGGTACGTATACCAGAAAAAATTATTGTAGAGGGTTTGTATACATGGTCGAATATATTATATTTATACATGACAGATCAAATTCAAGTTTCCCTCCTTTTTGTTGAACACTTTCTCTGTCCTTGGTGCTGAACACTTTTCACACTAACAAAATCAACACTAACAAGATAGGGGATATCACACTGAACAAGCTGTTTTTTTTAGATTCTCTTTATGCCTGGTAGTGTCAAGACAGAGCAGCAAATTATATCAGACCATGGCTGCTGGAGTGAAAGGGCAGAATTTTTAAAGATAATCTTTTATTGCCATTTTCCAAAGAAGGAACAAAAAACAGGCATAACAATTTGCATACTTCCTACAGTAAACTAATGTAACAATTTATGAGATAAAGCCCTCCAAATACCCTAGTGTTTCTGTGGTAGTTTATTCAGAATTTTGTGCAATGATATATTCTATTTTGTGGTAGTATTTTATATGAGTAAGTGCAGAAAGGGCAGAGTTTGTACCGGAGAAGCACCTCTCGCCAGCCTGTCTGACAAATCAGCCCAACCACACTGGACTGTGGAACTGTTAGCCAGCCCATTTAGGGGCCAGATGTGCCGGCCATGATTCCAGCCTGACCACTAATCTACCAGTACTATCGATCGACAGCCGCGTGATAAAAACCACCACTCCATGGCAGAAATTGATCTGTGATGTCTGTGATTCGTAAACAGAGACGTTCATTCAAGGTTTTACAGTGAAGCTTTATTGACACAACAAAAAGTACACAGACTGTTGTATGGTCAACTACAAACTATAGGATAGGAATACAAAATTAATCATAAAATTTGAATGGTCTAACATGAGAAAGCATTTACATTCTACCAAAATGGTAAGAGTGCCCATTACAAGGACAATCCACAGACAGGGTTAGCTTTTACTAGTACATGTACATAACTCTGACTGAGATGAATACAGGAGGTTATGAGAAACATCAGGGGAGATAGAGCCAAGTTATCGGTATAACTTGAGCTAAACATGGTAATGTGCTGATAAGACATGAAAATCAATGAATCAGCAGGTTTGGAGAGTCCATAAATCTATAAACATTAATTTTCCACTTAGTGACGAATCTACCACCTATAAAAAAAGTATAAAAGCTGTATGTTTGGGAAAAGCCATCTCCATAATCTGACACCTGCACTTTCAATATGCAGTGGCTTGGAAATCATTTTCGTCAGCGTTCCCAAAGTACAGTTGATAGTTGAAGGTTTTCTGATGGCTAATGGTTAATAATTATGATAGTCTCAAAATGGGAAGGTCACTAACACCATATAAGGAGCTAAGTTAGGCAGTTGCTAAGGACCTTTCCTTGCCACATTGTTGTTGTAAGTAAGCATTGGCATAAGGATTGTACTACCACATGCTGTAGTCAGTCTGTATAAAGTGCCTGACAATAAAACTATACAAAAAGTAAACTATACCATAATAAACCAACAACATTGATTATTACAGTCAACCAATGACAACACAGCCTGATTAACATTCTGAACACTCACAGCTAACCAATCACAGCACAGCCTCATTAACATTCCAAACACTCACACCCAGCCAATTACAGCCCAGCCTCCTCAACATTTTTAAAAGACAACATCCAACCAATCACAGCACAGATTTTGCTAACATTTTGAACATTCACAGTCAACCAATTACAGCACAGCCTCGTCAACATTCCGAACACTCACAACCCCTTCCTGCACACACTCTCCACTGACCCTTGCTGATATCAGGAGGAAATTACCGCTTCACTGGTAAAACATGGCCCAGATTTATGCATGAAGCTGCCCTGCCTAAACACTGGGTGTCAACTGGTCTGACCTGAACATATCCCTCATGCAGACTCATCTGTGGGCTGCTGTTTTCTGCATGGATGGACGCTGTGGGGGAGAGTCTGTCCAGTCTGGCATGGATCACTTGTGAACTGTCTGAACTAAAGTATTTCTGCCCTCTCTAAGCATGTACCATAAGATGTCCTACAAGTATAGCGCTACAGACTGTTAGTGGACGAGGAAAACTGGTTTATATTTAGATATAAGATAGGTAAAGGCAACTTATCACTGGGAAGATTAACAGTTGAACAAACTGTTTTTAAGATTGTAGAAAGTGTTCAGCACCAGGGACAGGGACAGTGTTGTTAGTGTGGAAAGTCTTCAGAAACAGGGACAGGCAGTATTGTTAGTGTGGAAAGGGTTCAGCACCAGGGACAGGGACAGTGTTGTTAGTGTGTCAAGTATTCAGCACCAGGGACAGTGTGTTCAATCCTAATGACTTAACAGTGCACACCCCAGTTCTTCTGCAACCATGGTCCGTGGTAGTGCACGTTAAAAAAGTGACGAAAGGGTCTCGAGGGTCCAAGTTTGAGGTGACATTTCTCATTAACTGCCACAAAATATCATTAAACATTCACATGGCTGAAAAGTGTAAGAAATTGTGATTTTGGGGTGAAAATTTCTTTTGGCTCCAAGCTCCATAAAACTACTTCCGGGTATTCTTGCGCGCCAAGTGTAATCTGCCCATTTGACCATGCTCTGTGGCTTCCTTAGAGTTGTTTTGCACCCCTCGCGTCATAGATGGGTCTTTCTGCCAGAATCAGTCATTTCTGCCCCCCAGTTTTTTTATTGGATTATCCTATGCGAAAATTCCCAATTTTGTGCATTAATTTTGGAGTGAAAATATTGTTTTTTTTCTGTTGATTGTACCAAAAATAAAGAGGTTGAAGAAACTAAACTCAGTTGGACTTGTAGATGAAGAGATATCCTTTCGTCCCATACACAGTTATTCTCCTTTCAAATTATTCCCTGGCAGAGACGGTCGCTAGACTTGAGGGTGTGCAGCGTCGAATTGAAATGTGAAATGAAATAAAATGTGAACTAAGGTGTGCCCCCTTAATTATCTGTGCTATGAGGAAAGCACTAAGACAATAAAAAAAAAAGCATTCAGCACCGAGGGAAGATAAGTGTCATTAGTGTGGGGAGAGTGCTGATAGTGTTGAAAGTGTTCAGTGGCAGTTACAGTGTTGGTAATGTGGAAAGTATTCAGCACCAGGGACAGTACATAACACTGGCTGATACACTAGTACTACCCTGACTTATGACCTCCTCTAAATCTAATAACAGTTCATAACTTCATAACAGTTCTGACCCAGATTTTGCAGCAGATCCAGCCGTTGTTTTATGGACCTGACCTATTTGTTTATGGTCTCCAGGTTCGAGGTTCATAACGAGGCTACAGGTGATGAACCCGTGACAGGTTATGGCACGGGGAAGGGATAATCTGGTGAAGTGTGATTACTCTCCTCCCATAAACACTGTAACTGTGGCCTGTAATAACCCAGGATAGATGCCCTCCCCTCTCTGACAGGCACAATAAACTGTTCCACTACCAGATTACAACATCAATCACAGCAATATGCACCACTGCAGACTCTGCCATTTGCACACACAAGGGGGGTGGGGGATGCAGTGGTATGAACACATTCACAGAAGAGTCATTTATCACATTCTTCTCTTTGTACTTCCTAGTGCTTCTCTCCCTTTCATCACCTGAGGCAGTACATCACACTTGATTTGTGCACATACACACACAGATCACATTACCCACCTAAGCCACCCACAGATATACCCACAGATATACTGACCTCACCTAAATCTAATAACAGTTCATAACTTCATAACAGTTTTGACCCAGATTTTGCGAGAAGAGTCATCTATCTCCTCCACATCTCTTTACTCTTCTTTTTCTCCATAATTTCTCTTCTAGTTTTCCTCTCCATCTTCTTGTGCAAAGTTTCATCTGTCTACTTTTCTGATATGTATATACTTCAGCAACAAAGATTCCCTCACAGTTCCTGCACGTACACTGTCATCCCAGCTCCAAACCATACCAAATGAGATCTGACAGCAGGTCGGGTACAGAACTGATTGTGTAGAAGACACCAGCCCTCCCAGAAGGGCCGTTTACTGCCTGATGGAACGACAACAAGATAACGAGAACTCCACCACACCTCTGTTGGGACCAGGAGTGACAGAAGATTACATTAGGGACCACTTCAGATGCAGCGTCTGTAGTGATTGAGCATTACTGTTGCTATGCTTTACAAGCTGTACAGTGCTTATGTCATTAAGGGGGAACTCGGTTTTTATGACAAAGACTACAGTCTGCAAAAATTACAATGCATGGAAATGAACTCATAGAACATGATCCTCTCCACTGCTTCTAGAAATAAATTTTCTTGAATGTATCAGAAAACAAGAGTTCCACGATCTCATACCTTCGCCAAATGATGTTAACCCTTGCGGTTGAAATATTATACAATTTTGATAATTGATTTTGCAAATAAGATCCTCATTTGCATGGGTTATATCAGTTGATCATATTCTCCACCCAATGACAGTCTTATCTTAACAAAAAGGCTATTATAGCACTTCCTCATAAATTATGCAAATGAGATCATTATTTGAATAAATTATGTTTATTGATGTTCGCCTTCACTTAACTTCCAAATGTGGCAAGTATGAAATTCCCAGTAGTTACAACTATGAAATTATAAAAAATTGCCATTAATTATGCAAATTAGGTCTTCATTTACATAGTCTTTATCCTCAGATGTTTCTTTTTAATTCTCAATTACATGTCACAAGTGTTTCATAGTCCTATTATCGAACAAAGCAGATATATAGAATGTCCTCATTAATTATGCAAATTAGCTCCTGATTTGCACAACTGTCATTTGATTATGTCAAGCATCCCTTCAGCTACCTACATACCAAAATCACGACAATCCGTCAACCGGTTCTTGAGTTATCATCCTTCGAAAATTTTTCAACAAATGCTCCTGCAGTTCCAGAACAAGCCGCTAGGGGGCCCAAACTCATGTCACTTCTTCCCTACCCCAAGAGCTATCTACCAACTAAAATTCGTGACCCTAGCATGTCCAGATCGCGAGATATCAAAACCGGAAGTTCTGCTGCAGTACCAACAAAAGCCGCCAGGGGGCCCAAAATCTAATCATTTCTAGGTCTCATCAAGACCTACCCACCTACCAACTTTCATGACAATGCATACTAATCTTCTTGAGTTATGCTGTTCACAAACAGACAGACAGACAAACAGACAAACGCTACTGAAAACATAACCTTCTTGGCGAAGGTAACAACACTGTCTAAATTGCTGAATCAGTTATGATATCAGTTGGGAGGTACATGTATGAGAGATTTGAGACATGAATCCAAGAATAGGTTGTAGGATGCTGGGGCTTTCTTTCCTACACTTCCAAGTGTAATTTTGATGCAAGGTTGATCTATAATTTCAAACAGAAAATCTATACCTTGACTGTCCAACTCCAATCTTTGAACAATCTACCACTTCTGTAAAATCATGTTATGTAGATAGATCATGTGACTCAGCAAGCAGTGGATCATGTGTATCTTTTATCAAAATTACATTTCAACTTTGCTTCAGAATGATTTCAAACATTTTGTAAGTCAGCTAGTTGCCTTCCTCAGTGCTATAAGTATAAAGACTGGAGCTTAAAATGGATTTTAAAAAAATTAGAATAGATTCTAGTACAATCAATGTCTTTTATATATAGTGCACTATCTCAAAAATGCCTAAATACTAGAAATTCCACCATTGATTGTAAAAGCACATTTCATTCCATACTACATACTGGGTAGTCTTTTGTAATATTGGTTAGTTTTGTCTTGTATGTTATATAGCAGTATATGATACCATAAGCCGTACATTGTACAACTGTTGTACAATAAAT